CTATATAGCCTGCCTCGCATGGGTCAGTAGGCCTGCTGCAGTGTTCCTTCTTTCTTATATATTAACAAAGTACAAATACAGTGGACCCCCGCATAACGATCACCTCCAAATGTGACCAATTATGTAAGTGTATTTATGTAAGTGCGTTTGTACGTGTATGTTTGGGGGTCTGAAATTGACTAATCTACTTCACAATATTCCTTATGGGAAAAAATTCGGTCAGTACTGGCACCTGAACATACTACTGGAATGAAAAAAGTTCGTTAACCGGGGGTCCACTGTAATCCTATATAGGGAAAATCATTGATTTTGATGATGTGATAGATGATTTTGCATAACTGAAGGCAAGGAAATGTAAGATCAGATTCACTGAGATGTTACCTGTACTCAAGGTCAAATCAGAACTAGTATTTCTCTGATATTGCAATGTTTTTCTTTATTTTTCAAGCTTTGTTTTTTGTTTTGGCATTGTTGACAATGAATAAATGTAGGATCTGTTGCCTGTACTCAAAGTGGTATTTGAGTTTATGTTTCCTCAATATTACTATGATTATTTATTTTATCATTAATAAAGTTGAGAAGTATTCTCCTGTTCAGTTTATGGCCTTTAAACACCAAATGACTACCTCACCGGCAACTACCCGAACACACTGTTCCTAGCTCCGACTAACCCATACGAAGTCTCCCTTATTATCAACACACTAAAAAACAAGGCAGGAGATTTAAATACCTTACCACCCTTTATATACAAAAAAGTGTCACAAGTGCTATCACCAATCATTGCAACACTCTTTAACAAATCCATTGAATCCTCCACCTTCCCTACAGTACTCAAAATAGCAAGGGTCACCCCGATCCACAAAGGAGGAGACCAAACAGAGTTGAATAACTATAGGCCAATATCCAACTTACACCCTCTCTCAAAAATCTTCGAAAAATTAATTCATAAACGAATCTACTCCTACCATATCTCCCAAAACATACTCAACCCCTGCCAATTTGGATTCAGGCCTAATAAAAATACTAATGATGCTATTATACACATGCTAGAACATATATACACTGCAATAGAGAAAAAAGAAGTCCCACTGGGGATCTTCATTGACTTACGTAAAGCTTTTGATACAGTTGACCATGACTTGCTCCACGTAAAATTGTCACACTATGGTATAAGAGGGCACTCCCTCAACTACCTCAAGTCATACCTCAGCAACAGAAGCCAATATGTGTATGCAAATGGGGCAAACTCCTCTGCACAACCAATTACAGTTCGTGTCCCACAGGGAAGTGTCCTTGGCCCTCTTCTCTTTCTCCTATACATAATGACCTACCAAATGCTTCGCAATTACTCAAACCCACACTATATGCAGATGACACTACATACGTCTTCTCCCACCCGAGCCCAGTCACGCTAGCCAATACTGTAAATACCGAATTACAGAAAATATCTACCTGGATGAGAACTAACAAACTTACACTAAACATTGACAAAACCTACTTCATTCAGTTTGGTAACAGAGCTACAGATGTCCCTCTTAACATAATGATAAACGGATCACCTATCACAAAGCTAACAGGGGGGAAATTCTTAGGAATCCACCTTGATAATAGACTCAAATTTCATACACATATACAACAAATTTCTAAGAAAATTTCCAAGACTGTAGGCATACTATCGAAGATACGGTACTATGCTCCACAGTCAGCCCTCCTGGCCCTATATCACTCTCTTATTTACCCCTATCTCACCTATGGAATTTGTGCATGGGGCTCAACAAGTAACCATCTCAGACCACTAATTACCCAACAAAAGGCTGCAGTTAGAATGATAACAAATTCTCACTATAGGCAGCACACTCCACCAATATTCAATACACTAAACCTCCTCACCATACAAAACATCCATACTTACTACTGCACCTATTACATACATAGAACACTTAACTCTGATATTAACCCTCCCCTCAAACATCTCCTTGCCAACCTCAACAGAACACATGACCATAACACAAGGCACAGATCACTCTTTGATGTTCCTCGTGTCCATCTCACACTATGTAAAAAACTCAATGCACATAAAAGGCCCTAAAATCTGGAATTCATTACCTGTAAATATAAAAGAAACACTACCTGTTTATAAATTCAAGTCTCTTCTCAAAGATCACTTACTCACCCAAAACCAAATAAATACTGAATAACTGAACCTTATAAATTGTATATCTTAAATGTTTCTCACAATATATCACATAAATGTTAAACCTAAAACCCAATCTAACTTTATTATTTTTTAAATACACTACCTAACAGAATACTCCATTCTACTGAATGTACAACAATGCATACAACCATATGACCTGTCTTTGTAATACTCACTTGTGCTTTATAGTAACCTGTTTACATTAATGTTTTATCACTGATTTCATCATTGCTTAGTTAATCTTAAGTTAATTTTAAGCCAGCCCGTAATGCTATGCATAGTATAAGTGGCTTTGGCATACTGCTCTTACCTGTATTTGTTGTACCTCTGTATGTGTGCTCAAATTTTTAAATAAATAAATAAATAAATTGTTAAACATTTGTCACTGGTCATGCAGTAGTGACGTAACTGGAGTTTACCCCCCCCATCCCCCTGCCCTTGAATTTCATGAGGGTGACACCAATGTTGCTGTCCTGGGTGACACCAGAGATTCCACCCCGGGTGACACCAACTCTAGCGACGCCTCTGACCCGTAGGATTATACAGCACCTGTGCAGGGGATGTGGAAAGTATTCAAGCTTAATTCAGGGAACTGGAGCACAGATCCAATTTCCTAGATCAAGAGCCCCTCACCAGCATCAAGGAATCTCCCTCAAGGGAAGCACGAGGTATAGGCCTACTCTAGTGCTCCTCCCTGCCTAAATTCGGGATATTTATTTATTTATTTATTTAAAAATTTGAGCACACATACAGAGGTACAACAAATACAGGTAAGAGCAGTATGCCAAAGCCACTTATACTATGCATAGCATTACGGGCTGGCTTAAAATTAACTTAAGATTAACTAAGCAATGATGAAATCAGTGATAAAACATTAATGTAAACAGGTTACTATAAAGCACAAGTGAGTATTACAAAGACAGGTCATATGGTTGTATGCATTGTTGTACATTCAGTAGAATGGAGTATTCTGTTAGGTAGTGTATTTAAAAAATAATAAAGTTAGATTGGGTTTTAGGTTTTAACATTTATGTGATATAATTGTGAGAAACATTAAGATATACAATTTATAAGGTTCATTATTCAGTATTTATTTTGGTTTTGGGTGAGTAAGTGATCTTTGAGAAGAGACTTGAATTTATAAACAGGTAGTGTTTCTTTTATATTTACAGGTAATGAATTCCAGATTTTAGGGCCTTTTATGTGCATTGAGTTTTTACATAGTGTGAGATGGACACGAGGAACATCAAAGAGTGATCTGTGCCTTGTGTTATGGTCATGTGTTCTGTTGAGGTTGGCAAGGAGATGTTTGAGGGGAGGGTTAATATCAGAGTTAAGTGTTCTATGTATGTAATAGGTGCAGTAGTAAGTATGGATGTTTTGTATGGTGAGGAGGTTTAGTGTATTGAATATTGGTGGAGTGTGCTGCCTATAGTGAGAATTTGTTATCATTCGTTACAATTCATTCCATGAGGCTGTCCGAGTGCCAATACCGAACGAATTTGTTCCCATAAGGAATAACGTAAATTAGATTAATCCATTTCAGACCCTCAAAAATACACTTACAAAAGCACTTACATAAATACACTTACATAACTGTTCGAGTTTTGAGCTGTTCATATCCCGAGGTACCACTGTATTTTATTTCTATAATGATTAAAGGGTTTTAAAGCCTATAGACTACATGGTCATTAAGGTTGTTTGTAACCTTTACACTACTAGACATGAATACTTTAATTCTTAAAATAGGGATCAAAGTAAAACCTTGGAGTATAACAGGGATCAGAGTAAACCCTCGGGAGTATAACAGGCATCAAAGAAAACCCTCGGGAGTATAACAGGGATCAAAGTAAATCCTCGGAATATAACAGGGATCAAAGTAAACCTTCAGAGTAATAGGGATCAAAGTAAACCCTCGGAGTAACACAAGGATCAAAGTAAACCCTCGGAGTAACACAGATCAAAGTAAACCCTCGGAGTATAACAGGGATCAAAGTAAACAACCTTATGAGTATAACAGGGATCAAAGTAAACCCTCGGAGTAACAAGGATCAAAGTAAACCCTCGGAGTAACACAGAGATCAAAGTAAACCCTTGGAGTATAACAGGGATCAAAGTAAACAACCTTATGAGTATAACAGGGATCAAAGTAAACCCTCGGAGTATAACAGGGATCAAAGTAAACCCTCGGAGTAACACAAGGATCAAAGTAAACCCTTGGAGTACAACAAGGATAAAAGTAAGCCCTTGGAGTAAGACGGGGATCAAAGTAAACCCTACGAGTATAACAGGGTCCAAAGTAAACCCCATGAGTATAACAGGGATCAAAGTAAACCCTCGGGAGTAACACAGGGATCAAAGTAAACCCTCCGGAGTAACACAGGGATCAAAGTAAACCCTCCAGAGTAACACAGGGATCAAAGTAAACCCTCGGGAGTAACACAGGGATCAAAGTAAACCCTCCGGAGTAACACAGGGATCAAAGTAAACCCTCGGGAGTAACACAGGGATCAAAGTAAACCCTCGGGAGTAACACAGGGATCAAAGTAAACCCTCCGGAGTAACACAGGGATCAAAGTAAACCCTCGGGAGTAACACAGGGATCAAAGTAAACCCTCGGGAGTAACACGGATCAAAGTAAACCCTCCGGAGTAACAAAGGGATCAAAGTAAACTCTCGGGAGTAACACAGGGATCAAAGTAAACCCTCGGAGTAACACAGGGATCAAAGTAAACCCTGACTATATACACTAAGAGAAATACACCTCTGGTTGTATATATATTTATTTATTAAACGTTGATACCTGGCGGTGTCTGTGCCACTTGTGTCTGATGGTCTGCACCAACGCCACAGTTTGCCTCTTAATTTCGCCCTTATCGGGGATGACGTCTCCTCCTCCATAGTCAGGAAGGTTGTTCACGAAGTACCTTTTATGGGTCGACATGCTGCACACTCCACCTATTGTGAAATGAAGTGGAAAAATCCACAATTATGAGAGCGGCGTCACCACCAGCCTCTGCTCACTCACACTGCTCTACCTGACGCCTCACCTCTCTTCTCTACTCATTATGAATTTTTTTATATTTTATTGATTTTTTAGCATCATTTACTATAATTAGATTCTTAGTTTTTGCTTAAAATAAAGTAAATTATTTACTTTTAGTGCATTCGAAATTAAATGAAACACATCTGAGAGGTCTATATATAGTTTTATATGATAATGAGAGTTAAAAATTATATTTAAGTATCACAAGATGTATATGTGATTTTAGTAAATATATAGTTGTTCATATTACGTTTTGTTAAAATAGAATGCAGGAGAGGAAAATGGCTGACTCCGTGAGTACTGAACTGCAATAATTATTGTCTTGTTTCTCTCTTGTTCTCTGCTAGTTCTCTTTAACCCTCCCATGCACACTTTGATGTAGAGATTCTCATCCCCTCATGAACTGAATTAATGGGATAAAGAGAAGTGTGGGGGAGTTTTATGGCATTGTTTGTGGGGGGCGTCGTTGTTGGGGCTGGCACAAGTAGCTTGACACTTTTATACTTAGAAAGTATATACACTTGTAATGAAAATCTTATTCGTTATATTATAATGGCTCCAGTATGTCATTACTTACAGGTTATAGAGGTGATGGATGGCTGTTCAGTTTTTATGCATGACTGTACCCTCCATGGAGGCTCCTTGATGCTGTGAAGGTCTTGATCCAAGAAATTGGAGTTGGTTTATAATTGATGCTGGTTTAATCAGGTGTGATAAACTTATTTGTGTCGATTGTTTGTTTTCATTGTTGAATTTATTCCTTTTTTTTTTTTTTTTTTTTTTTTTTTTCTTTTTTTTTTCTTTTTTTTTTTTTTTTTACTGTGAGCATAGAGTGACCTACATGGTCACTATACTCTGTAAATGTCACTACATACTACTGGTAACTGTTGCCTTCCTTTTCCTAGGACCTGGGTCAAAATAAGTCACTTTGCCTTCTTTTGGTTATTCTGGGTATACCTGGAGAGGGTTCCAGGGGTCAACGCCCCTGTGGCTCGGTCTGAGACTAGGCCTCGTGGTGGTGGGGGTCTGATCAGCCAGGCTCTTGCTGCTGGCTACATGTAAACTGACATACAAACCACAGCCTGGCTGGTCAAGTGCTGACTTTAGGTGCTTGTCCAGTGCCTTCTTGAAGACAGCCATGGGGGGTCTATTGGTAAACCCCTTTATGTATGCTAGAGGGCAGTTGAACAGTCTTGGGCCCCTGACACTTATTGTGTTGTCTCAATGTACTGGTGGCGCCCCTGCTTTTCATTGGGGGAATATTGCATCTCCTGCCGAGTCTTTTCCTTTCATAGGGAGTAATTTTCGTGTGCAAGTTTGGTACTAATCCCTCTAGGATTTTCCAAGTGTATATTGTCATGTATCTCTCTTGCCTGCATTCCAGGGAATACAATAGTTCAATCGTACTTATGTGTGCCGTGAAAGTTCTTTGTACACTCTCCTGGTCAACAGTTTTGCCAGCCTTGAAAAGGGCAATTAGTATACAGCAGTATTCCAGCCTAGAGAGCACAAACAATTTGAAAAGAATCATCATGGGCTTGGCATTCCTAGTTTTGAAGGTTCTCGTTATCCATCCTATCATTTTTCTAGCAGATGTGGTAGATACATTGTTGTGGTATTTGAAGGTGAGATCCTTTAATTTCCTCAAGTTTTCCATATCTGAGTAGTTGAAATTTCTCCTCATTCAACTTCATATTGTTATGAGTGGCCCATTTGAAGCTTTGGTTGATGTCAGCTTGGAGTCTTGCAGTGTCTTCGATGGAGGTCACTGTCATGGCAATTCAGATATCATCTGCAAAGGAAGACACGGAACTATGGCTTACATCTCCATCTATGTCAGATATGAGAATGAGGAATAGGATGGGAGCGAGTACTGTGCCTTGTGGAACAGAGCTTTTCACCGTAGCTTCCTCATTCTGTTTGTCAGGAAGTTATAGATCCATCTACCAACTTTTCCTGTTATTCCTTTATCATGCATTTTGTGTACTATTACACCATGGTCACACTTGTCAAAGGTTTTTGCAAAGTCTGTGTATACTACATCTGCATTTTGTTTATCCTCTGTAGCATCCAGGACCTTGTCATAGTGGTCCAGTACTGGGACAGACAGGAGCGACCTGCTCCAAACCCGTGTTGCCCTGGGTTGTGTAATTGATGGGTATCTAGGTGGTTGGAGATCTTGCTTCTTGGAACCCTTTTAAAAGATTATGATATGGGGTGTTAGTGCTATCAGTCTGTAGTTCTTTGCAATTGCTTTCCTGCCCCATTTGTAGAGTGGGGCTATGTCTGTTGTTTTTAGTGTGTGTGGGATGACCGCTGGGTAGCTTATTTAGATATATTTTACTATATGAAGACATTGCAATTAGGGGTATGCCACAGTATCAGTATCAGTGGGTATCAGCTGTTTTTTATGGTATCAGTATCAGCCTTAAATTGAGTACATGTACTAGTATTGGTATTGGCAAAGATTTTGTTGCTCTCCTGTCATTAATTGTAATCAGCCAAAAAATGTCTAAACTTGTACATAAATTAACTTACATAAGATCAGATATGATTGCCTGCCATTCCTCAGGCACTGTATGATGCCTGCAGGTTCAGCACTTTCCTATATTAATTATATGTGATGTAATTTTGTTCCTATATCATTGTTGTCCAGGACATTATTTTTATGGTAGTCTGTGGATCATGGCTCAAGTGGTAGTACCTTTGGCTTCTGTGTTGGAGTGCTGACATCTTGCTCTGCCGTCCTGGCTGCCTTCAGCAGCAGTGTTGAATTTTTGTTTACTGACCCTGGGATGCTTGTCCTCGGCATTGTTGGATGATGCATGAGTGGGTGTGAGTTGAACCTGCCTAGTATGGGCCAGCAAACCTGCAATATTCCTTCCTTCATTTTTGTGTATTCTTGTGTATCATATGTTGCCTGCTAAAGAGTAAAAAGGCATGATACTGTGACTGGAACAATACACAAATAACCTGCACATAATTGTGTAATGCTACCTGCTGCTGGCTAGTTGGTCATGACAGCATACATCAACCCCTAGACTTCAGGAAAGCCTGCTGTTTACCCATGGAGGAGCAGAGGAGTCATGCTTTGCCATGGTTCATGCAAGGGAGGTCCGTCAAGCATAATTGGAAGCTTGTTGGTCCCACTTCTCTTTCCTGAGGAAACTGTTTCCTTTTTAATTCTGCCAAGGTTTATGCAACTTATTTTTCCCAAACTCCTGGGAAGTAGGGCTTAATAAGGCGTAAGATTTGGTGCTTCTTGGCAACCTCAGCAGCAACAGCAATGGTAGTGCCATTGAATCATGACTGAAGTACCTGGATTTGAACCTGGGATGAGTGCAAACTTTGGGCATGTTGGGAAAGAGGCTCAAAGGACTCAATGGAAATACTGTTAGCCATATTACATGGACTTTTAGATTATCTTGGGTTACTAACCCTCTGGGATAATAATCTAATATGTTCTAGTCACTGGTCTTTGGTCTTGTTTGTCTAACCTATTTGTCAAGCTACACAAGGTTTAGGTTCAGTGATGCTACTCAGGAGTTAGTTCCACTCATCCACAACTGTTATCAAACCAGTGCTTTCCAATATCCTTAATAAATCTAATTTTGTTTTCCAACTTAAGCCCATTGCTGGTTTCAAGTTGGAAAAATTTAGATTCAGGAAGGATGTAGGAAAGCACTGGTTTGGTAATAGAGTTGTGGATGAGTGGAACAAACTCCCGAATACAGTTATAGAGGCTAAAATGTTGTGTAGTTTTAAAAATAGGTTAGATAAATACATGAGTGGGTGTGGGTGGGTGTGAGTTGGACCTGACTAGCTTGTGCTGCTAGGTCTGATGCAGTGCTCCTTCCTTAAGTGGAAGTGACCTGATTAGGTGGGCCATTGGGCTAATCCAGGGGGGGGGGGGCCACATGGACCTGCTTTGCATGGGTCAGTAGGCCTGCTGCAGTGTTCCTTCTTTATTATGTTCTTATGCTGCAATTCCTGTCATGGTTGCTGTATAATCCTACGGGTTTAGCGCTTCCCCTTGATTATAATAATAATAATCCTGTCATGGTTAGGTATTTTTAGCATGTTCTTTGCATCCCCTTTATTTATTCCTATTTTCCACTTATACATGTCAATCATATCTCCCCAATGCTTCCATTGATACTTCTGCTGGTCTTGTGCACAACCATTAATTAGTGATTTAACACTGTACTAATCTCTGAATCTTTAAATTTTATCACACTTTTACCTAGCTGTAAGTCAGTAGTTATGACCTAGGTTATTTTTCAAGCCTCAGGACTAAGCATTTCTTTAGAACGTCATAACTTTGGTAATAATCACCATATACAGTACTTATTAAACTATACATATTAGGAATCAACACCCCCCTCATTGGAGGGCGTAGAGCGCTGGTGATGGGTTCTTGAGCCAAGGAATTAGACCTATCCTTTCCTTGGATCAAAACAGATTGCCTCCCATTTCCCCAAGTGCTATATGACCCCTATGGGTTTAGTGTTCCCTATCTCCCGAGGAATGTAATAATAATAGTAATTGGAATTAGTATATGGATTCCATTAACATAAGTATCATTTCTTTAGCTCAAAAATTTAATTATTAACCTCATGACCTAGTCTGAAGGTCACTGTATGATTTCAGCAGTATCATCTGACAATTTTTTTTAACTAAATGCCATATAAAGGTTATTTATTTATATATATATATATATATATATATTTTTTTTTTTTTTTTTTTTTTTTTTTTTTTTTTTTTTTTCAACAAGTCGGTCGTCCCCACCGAGGCAGGGTGACCCAAAAAAGAAAGAAAATCCCCAAAAAGAAAATACTTTCATCAATCATTCAACACTTTCACCACACTCACACATTATCACTGCTTTTGCAGAGGTGCTCAGAATACAACATTTAGAAGCATATACGTATAAAGATACACAACATATCCCTCCAAACTGCCAATATCCCAAACCCCCTTTAAAGTGCAGGCATTGTACTTCCCAT